ATCCATGGCTCTGGATGTATTATGTAAACATAACCAACGGTACAGAGTGGTAATCAATCATGTTTGTTTGTCCGCAGCTAACGGCAGGATGCTGAGGCCAGAGTGCCACGGACTAAAAAAAAAACGTGTTATTTCTCTCTAAAAGATTGCTGTTAGGGCATTGTTCTCCTCCTGTGATTGATGGGAGAAGGTAGTGACAATAAACATTTGGAGATAGGGAGTGACATGACATATTGCAAAGGTCTTTGGATGGAATTGAACCAGGATTTAGTAGTTGCATGGTTACATGGTACAGACTTAGACCGCTAAACCCCCCAGGACACCCCACATAGTTGTGTTTTGCACAACCACAATGCCAAAGCGTGTTCATCTCGTCGTGTGTATTTCTGACACGTTAGGTGTTGTTGGCAGCATCAGAGGTGAACAGGTGTGTTTGTTGAGATGAATGAAGACATGACATAGATTAATGACTGGAGTCTGCAGCAGACCATTATATTGAAGGCCACTGCTGCCCACTGTGGGTGGGTGGTTGTGTGGACCTTGACATGGCCAACAGCTAAAAATAGACAAAGAGAATAAACAGGCTGCTGCTATGGCGTGTTTCCTCCCTCTTATTGACGAAAACACACACACACACACACACACACACACACTCACAGATGCAGCCACACACACACATTTGGACACACTGTACTCTTCCGTGGAGTACTTACAAAGTCTTCAAGCTCTCACTGTGTGGCCGGAGCCAGTTGTGGACCTTCCATAACTTTGAATTTCACAGAATAATAAATGACATCCTTGAAAATTACATTCTATTCAAGCCGTCAAAATGTCAAGGGAGCAGGCGGGGGGGAGTTGGAGAGAAAGCAGATACGGTTTTTCACCTTGTCCACCTATGTGTGTGTGTTTTCTTTGTTTTTTTTTAAAAGTATTCAAATCTATGGCAGCTTACTAATAATAGAAAGGTGTTCCACGCTGCTTGAATGCTTATTACAGTAATTTAAGTGAATGTGGCTTTTCTTCGCTCACTCACTGCAGAAGCTCACAGTAAATTACAGCATCCACGTTTCTTTCTTCCACCACACACCCGTTTTACATGTAAGGCGCCGTTTTCTTGTTGGGTTTGATCTGCTGAGCCTCTTTAAAGAAAACACATTTTTTCCTTTTTCCTGTTACACAGCACCTAATGCTTTCAGAGCCCAGTACAGTTAAATATTCCCACGGCGAAGCTCAATGTGATCTATGCGGTGCTCCTCAGTGCATCTCCCTAATGAGTGTGTGATGAACGGATGATGATGTGTTTCTCTTGTGCGCTGCCAGCGTCAGAGGCAGGAGCTGTGGGGTGCGAGTGTGTGTCCGCGGTGTTGTTTGGATGATGGAATGGACACATTTTATGACAAATTGAAAAGGGGAAATACAGCAGGCAGTGACAGCTCAGGGATGAGGCAGCCGGTGTAGTCAGTCATCTCTTTTTGGTCAAGGATTGATGAGAACACGCTTACAAAGACTTGACGGCGCCTGTGATGCCAAACAGTGAGGAGCACCTCACTTTTGGGTTCATCTTCACAACTTACTCTTGCTTTATTTCGCGCACAGAATTTGAATAGATGCCGGGCCGTGTAATTTATTCTGATAAATACAGACACCAAAGGTTAATTGACTAAACAGCTGATTCAATCCTTCAGTCCCACAGAGCAGCCACGCCGGCTATCTACACATCCAACTCTTTCTGGCTCCGTGGCCCAAAGTGTTTCTTCAGCATGATGCTACAATTTGGGTTGCTATGGCAACAACCCACACACGCACACATGCCCACATAGTGCACAGGAATTAAAAAGAAAACCTCATAAACACCCTTTAGTAGAAAAAAAAAAAAAACATTTTGTAGTCTTTGTAACCTGCTGAAAAGTTAGTAATTATAGATATCAAGCTGGTAACTAGAGTTATTCCGCCCACACAGTGGGACGCCAAGCTGCCTTCAACTCCCTGGAGTACTCATGCATGCAGGTGGTGTTAGCATAGAGCTTGAAGCATCCACTGCAAAGTATTACACTGCTTCACAGGACGCATTTTTTCCTGTCGCGGAAGGCTGCGGCTCGCTGATTATTTCGGCTCAACGTCGCCGCTACCTCGCACATCATGACTCATGGGACGGCTGAACGGCTGCCAGGCTGATAATAATAATTAATGAAAGGGGGCACAGTCAATTACCCTTAATCATTTATCTGTACCCTAAGTAATTAACAACTGTGTCATCAGCAGTTTTGTTGTCAACAGCGGTATATTTCACGCCTGTCAATTAGGGATCACAGGCTTCACTGCACCCAGACCTGCTGTCACATGTGACGTCAAGGGGTTAAATGGAAAAATCTTCAAATCATGTCTTTATCTAAGTGGTAAACGTTGTGGAAATTGGGGGAAACTCCTACAACCGCTCTTGACTTATTCAAAATAGACTGCTAACTATATGTCATATGTGATTGGCAGTGATGGAGTGAGCAGTTGGACGACATGCAATCTGCAGATCTGCATATTTACAGACCCGGAGACGACCGCTGACCTTCAAACATCAGTGCCCACACGGTTAAGACACTGTATCCGCGCACACAAAGGCTCCGTTTAGTCAATGCGGCATTATTGATCACTTGTCACTGGAAGGAAGGAACATGGCAGGGGGGAATCAATTACACATATGCAGCGTATAATCAAATTTCTGGAAAAAAGTGCTTAGCTAAGGGGGAACTGCTCAATTGACACATATGTACGCTCTGCAGGGAAATATCATACCGAATACCAGCTACTCATCTGAGCTGAGAGGGAAAGAGAGAGAGAGAGGGAGAGGGAGAGAGCAGTCCAGCATTAACGACCAGAGGGATAATAAAGAATAGCCTACATAATTTAATATCTGTATTTATTCATTTCAGACCAGGGAGTGGAGGGGATCATTATATATTGATAGCTAATGGGGATTTGATTTGGAGGCACGAGGTGGATCTGCCACTGCTCTCTGAAGTGATCAAGAAAAGAAAAAAAAGAATCAAGCTGTCTTCTCCAGATCAGATTACTTGCTGGAGAATCTCAAATGGTTTGTGACCTCTGAGGTTTCAGCTGGTTAAAGGTGACAAAACAGGTAGAGTGTGTGTGCCAGAAAGAGAGAAAGCAATTCTGTGGAGACTCTTGAAAAAAATAAAAACTAATCTTTTCTGAAATATGAGGTACATGTGTGTGTTTCTGTATGTGAGGATGATTCTTTATAATAACACAAAGAATAATAAATCAACTCTCCACACTTTTTTTTTTTTTTTGTTGCAACCAGAATTCCCATTCAAACACCTCTGAATGGAACGAGCCCATCACTATTTTGTCCTGTTGCCCAGTTCCGATTTGGATTTGGAGCTGTGTGTGTGTGTGTGTGTGTGTGTGATAGTGGTGCAGCCCGTGTGCGCCCCTCTGCTCCTCCTTGTGTGTGTAGTATACAGCGGGACGCTCCGCAGTTCGCTTATCCCGTTCCTTCCCGTTGCCTTTTACGCGCTCGACGTCTGCAGCTACAGTGATTCAGTGAGCCTGTCTTCAAGCTTTTGGGTGAAGCAGGCGCAGGACTCTCTTTCATTTCCCCCTCCTCCTCCTCCTGCTCCTGCTCCTGCTCTCACAGTGTTCTCGATGGCGAAAAGGCACAGCTTCTGTTGCGGTGGTCACGTTTAAGAGGAAGACAATTCTTTTTTCTTTTTTGGTTTCTTTTCCCGTCATTTTTCAACACAATGTGGGACGCGCGTTCTCTGCGCTGCGTCCGCGGAGTGCTCCCTTCTGCCTCAGCCGCTTGACTAAAGAAAGGGGGGGATCCCGGCTCCCTTTTTTTTTTTTTCCATCTTCTACTCCCTTAGGAACAAGAGGAGTTTGCATGCAAAAGGTGGTTTATCGCGGCAAGGTGAGACATTTTTTATGTTTTCTTATTCTGACTTTCCACAGAGTCGAATCAGTGCGCTCGCCAGTACAGATTGTGTAGACTCTTTGCAGTGAAGGTAGCTTGGTGGCTTGTAAAGGCAGCAAAACCTTACTGAGCACAAATACATTGGAGTGTAACAGGTATGCTGCAGTTTAGAAAAAAAATTAGATTATATAATATGGCCGTGTGATGCTGCTTTACATCCCTTATAGGCTACATCTACTCACATTGTTCCATTTGGAGAGTGGAATTGGCTGCCTTGTGACAAATTCCTCATCCGAATAATCAGGCAGAGCCAAAACTGTTGCATTCAGGAGCTTAATTCATACATCTAAAAAAAAAAAAGTCCCTTCCTGATTAAAATTTGATCTACTGCAGTTGCTTAATAAATCTCATATATTTACAACTTTGTAATTTGGGGACTAATTTGAATATTAAGGACATTTTAATTAAATTAAACATTATATGCAGCTGTTGTAATGAGCTTGGAATTAATTATGACAGAAAATATGATCACATCTGATAGTGACAAATTAAATGAGGCTGTTGCAACACACGCCGCCTCTATCCAAACACTAATAACACTTGAGTGAATTTCAAGGCTTCTCTGACCCATTTTGACCGATGGGCTGCACCCGAAAGTAGTCCTCCAGCAGGAGTTCATTGCCTTGCTGGTGCTGGAGTGGAGTCACAGCAAAAGCAAAGTAGCCATATTGACTGTTAAAACAAAATCATTGATTCTGCCTAACACCTTCTTAGAAATGTGATGAAAGGGATCAATAACACTGTGCCGCTGTTACTATTTTTGACTGACACAACCAAGTAACAGGTGACCGTTCGCTGCCGCTTGAAGAGAGCCGGTTTAATTTCCACTCCTGGAGATGCACAAATGTTGAACTGAAATTGATTTGATAAATGTGTCATCAGTCATTCAGCCATCTCACAAACCGTCTTGTTTTTTTTCTCAGCCATGGAGGGACTTGCCTAAAGAGGAACCAACATAACTGAAAAGTTTTAGGCTTTTTTTTTTTCTATCTTCCTTTTTTTTTTGTGTCATTGCAACATCTTCCCAGAAGTCTCCTTTTCCGTCGCCATGGCTGAGAAGCTTGGACCAGCAGGGCTTAAGCCCACCAACGTCCGAACTGCTCCCCCACTGCCCCCTGAGCCCATCGACATCATCCGCACCAAAGCCCGCTCCCGCAGGGTCCGCCTCAACGTCGGGGGACTGAACCACGAGGTCCTGTGGCGGACCCTGGACCGGCTACCCCGGACGCGGCTCGGCAAGCTTCGAGAGTGCAACACCCACGAGTCTCTGATGGAAGTGTGCGACGACTACAGCCTGAATGAGAATGAATACTTCTTCGATCGGCACCCGGGGGCCTTCACCTCCATTCTGAACTTTTACCGCACAGGCAAGTTACACATGATGGAGGAGATGTGTGCGCTTTCATTTGGCCAGGAGTTAGACTACTGGGGGATTGATGAGATCTACCTTGAGTCCTGCTGCCAGGCCCGTTACCACCAGAAAAAAGAGCAGATGAATGAGGAGCTGCGAAGGGAGGCAGAGACAATGAGAGAGAGGGAGGGAGAGGGAGAGTTTGATAACACCTGCTGCCCAGACAAGAGAAAGAAACTGTGGGATCTCCTGGAGAAGCCCAGCTCCTCGGTGGCTGCCAAGGTAGGGATCCGAAAGTGGAAGTGTGATCACACTACCTCCATCTCACATTTCGCATTCAAAGCCGAACACTCAGCCTTGATCACAACACATTGCAGGCATGCTTATTAAAGGCCTACTCCCACATGTAAGAAAATACTCATGAGTTCATCTGTTTGAATCTTGCAAGCGGCAACAGTTGTTCGCCATAATCTAAAATGTCGTGAAAGGTGCCGTCTTTGGGTAACAGTTTGTACGGGTGCTCAGGAAGAAATGTGTGAAAATCATGGTAAAGTAGAATTTTACAGCTCTGGCGCTGATATACTCGTAGTGGAATCACTGCAGGAGATAGATTTTGACTTCATCGGATTTGACAAAATAATTGGTAGGTGTGTCAGCTTCTGGTGTTGCTTTCTTTGCCAGGATAAAGTATGTCAGCGCCGACCAGATCCGCCAATGACTTGTGACACAGCACGTCTCTTAGAGGGAACGGTACAAGCCTCTTTTCTCGCGCGGCTCTATTATGTGTCACTCTTACTCACTGATTGGATGTGCTATTTTTTTCTGTGTCTGTCTGTGAGTCAGGGAAATGACAAGGTGATGTCAAAAGTGCACTGCAGGTGTATTGATACGTAGCGTTTCCTTATTCAATTACTGTATTTACTTTGAGCATCTCTACTTAATTTGATTGAGCGGTGAGGTCGTCATCAGTGCTTCCCCTGCCCATGCAATGCATATTTAGAGAACCGCCTCATCTGTCACATGTAGTAAAGTTTGTATTCGTGCACTAAATCAACGTGATAAATACGACAGGGATTTCATGGTTATGGTGGCAATGTCAAGGCTGGCGAACTGATGACATGTCTCTCAACTCCTCCACCTCCTCATTCTGTCCCCACTCTGACTCGGCTCTCAATTAGGTAGGTCAACCTTGATGAAATCCAATCACTGGTAATTTACGTTGGGTCTCCAGTATCCTGATCTCATCACGAAGCAGCGGAGGGCAGGGCAAACTGGGATTATATTCCATGTCAGAGGATCATAAACACAGGGACCTGTGTGTGTGGGAACACGGCAACATCATCCCCGCTATGTGAGAAATGCAGCTCCTGTGCTGTGCTGTGCAGGCTGGTGCATTGTTCGGAGCCCCTTTACGTTTAAAGCAAATGAAGTTAATTTCAAATCCCTGGTGCTGAAATTATAACGTCATATTCATCGTTGAAAAGAAAAGAAATATGGTGATGACTCTTGCTTTTAGCTCGTTTTATAGGCTATTACACTTGTTTTTCTTCCTTCCTGTGATATGGGTTGTTTTCTCTGAATCAACTAGTGATTTGCGATTGTCAAAGATCCTGCCTTAGCTTGATAACTGTATTCATCCTTCATAGGGAAGCCGTATATCTCGTGAATTAATTATAAGGTGGCTGCCAATATCTAATTTAAGCCAAACTCAGGTGACAGCAGTGGAGTAATTTGACACGCTGTGTGATATTTAAAGTGATTTACTCCCCAGTACGGTCTCTTATTCTCCAGACACGTCTCCGTATTGCTGACCTGTTCACTATCGTGTGGGGGAAGCCTGTGAAACCTTAAAGGGGAAATTCCATCCTAATTCAAATTGCATTGATGTTCTGCTGACTGCTCTTGGAGGAGAACTTGACCGTGGCTCTAATGGATCAGCTGCATGATCTCACTAAGGTTATCCGCAACTGAAAGCACATTTGAAAGAGGCTGCCGGGGCTGCCCAACTTGTCAGATAGCAGCTCTCCTGAGGTCGGGGGAAGCCTTTTATGTGGCAAATGTCGTGTCGTGAGATCCCTTTAAAGCCTCTTGGTCAAGGCTGTGCCATTACCAAGCATGTGCTTTTATACAAAGCAACCTGAGCCCTTTGTTAAATGCAATCACGGAGTCATCTAGCATCCTCACATCCGCCTTTTCCGCTCTGCCTTTTCTTCTCTTTATCACGTATTAGAGGCAGATCTTTTACTCCATGCCAGCCGTGGCCTCGCTGCTCTTAAATAAAGGTTAAGCTTGAGAGGACTGACCTTTTCAGCAGGGTCAATCAAGCCAGGTTTTCATTCATCAGCATTAGCAACGGCAGAAGCTTTGGGGGTGTACTTGCAGGCAGAACGGAAAAGATGGAAACCGAGCAGGCACTGCACCAGAACCAGTTGGAGAAATCAGCGTAGAGAGAGCCACAAGTGAAGAAAGAGAGGTGGTGGGAAAGACGGTGGCAGAGGAAAGCCCTTGGAGAGAGAGAGAGAGAGAGAGAGCGAGAGAGTGATGTAAGAGATGCAGTCATGTAAGTTACGCCTCAGGATGCTGAGCTGGATCTTTGCAAACCTTTCCCAATGAATTATGAATGAAAGGGTCAGAACAAAGAGGACACGGGCTAATGCAGCGGTTTATCTGTGTGACTGCGTGACTTTTGGTTCAGTGCCCCAAGGAGAGGGTGGAGCAGGAAGCTGTTTTGTTGTCTAGTGCAGCCGGGTGCTCGGCTCGTCACAGGTGAGAGTTCTGGGGGAAAAGTTTTTGTTGCAGGAGTTTGCACCTGCGGGTGATGAATTTCCATGATGCATGCACTAAAAACACAATTAACAAAAATGCAGACATAAATCACCAAAAAAAAGAAGAAAAAATAGCCTTTATCTTGACTAGTGTATTTCATTTCAGTTTGAGTTATCTCTGGTAAATTATACAAGATTAGAGGGGAAACTGTGCTCTGGAAAATACATCAGCTGCTGCTTCCATTGTTTCCACATACTGTCGGCTATAATTCCTATTAATTCAGTAGAACGTGTCATCCTTGATATTGAGCCAGAAGGATTTGTGCTGCCCTGACCTTTTTTTATTTACAATGAGTCACGGGTGTTGTACAGCAAATACACTTAGCACAAGCTCATATAACCAAGTCATATCCAAATTGCCTGAACTGCAGTGACTTCTGCTTGAATATTTCCCCTTCTAAATGTATTTTTCCAATCATCACGCAAAGACAAATCTCGACGTACGTTAACTTGTTAATGCAGTTTGTAACCTGCCTTTGTTTTTCCCCCTCGAAGCGTCTTTTGTCAGTGAGACGGGAAATGTGATTAGATGCCTCAGACGCATTTGTTTTTGTGTTCCCATAAACACTACAGTATGCAGAAAGTGTGTAATAAATATCAGGGCCCTACCGAATGTTCGCCAGTGATTTAGTAAGAGTTTCAACATTAATGTATGAGTCAGACTGTGTTCCTGGTATCATAAATTAATGCTATTAGCTGTGACATAGATGCCCACAGTGCTCAGTGTTAATAGTACAGTGTGCAAGAGCGGCGTCTTTTTCATTTTGATTTGTTTCATGCGGTGCTTTTAGACAAACCTTTCAGAATATTATTACAAAATATTTCAGCCTTAATACACCAGCGGTTCTAAGAGAGAAACTGCTTTGCCTTTTAGGGTTTCTTTAGTCCATTCAGTATGGGCAGCCCCAGAAAATAATGGCAGAGGATTTTAAAGAGATCAATGTTTCTTCTTGCCAGACACTGGGTTGGGTTTTCTACTCCCCCACCCTCCCTGCCCTGCCAGCCAGCCACCCACACACACACTCATACACACACACTCACACACACACCAGCCGTGTCCAGCCCTATGCTTGCGCTTAATGTGGATGTGCACCATTACTCTCTTCTTTATCTAATAAGCTAGTCAAGCTAGTGGAAATGGTAAGGAATGGGCTACATGGGCGCAGCCTTGAGCTGTTTGGTCCTCCCACGCTTGGAAGCAGCCACAGTCAGTCCACCACAGACACTGCTGATGATGATGATGACACAGTGTGAGGAAGCTGTAGCATACTAAGGTACCGTAACACACCACTCTTTGTGAATGTCATATATGTTTGTGTTCATGTGGTGCAGCGGCGAGTGCACAATGCACACTGCTGAGTGTGTTTTAGTGCCTCACTTGTAGAATCACATATAGCATGATGCAGCAGAAATGACAATATTAATGCACAGCTTTAATTGTGACATGAGCAAATTCAATTGAACATGCTGTTGCGCTGTAACTCTAGAGCACTCGGAGCTGCCCGTTGTTTCAGATGACTGCAGACAGCCTCTTACTCCACATCCATCTGTTTCCTCCCAGGCTTTTACAGCACTGGAGCAAGCATTTGGCCTCGTGTGTACATTGATGTAGTTTTGTGATTGTAGCTGAGCCAAAGAAGACGCAGGAGGGGGGTGGAGCCTTTAGTCAGCATTAAGTCAAATGTCCGCTACAGTTTGTACCCCTGGGTCAAAATCAAGCAGCTGGTCCACTACCTGCTACACCGTCTTTCATTATCATCCTTTCATCTCTGTATGAACTGTGGTCAGTCTTCAGAAGGTTAAATCAATAGGCACTGGCATTTTATGAGGGAAATACGCTCAGCTTATTGGGCAAATGGATACTAGTTACTTTTTGCTTGTTTGTAGAAAGCCTGCCTGCTGACCTTGACTCTTGAAGTCAGTTTTCTAGTCAAATGATTGTCTTAAAGGGAGGCCTCTTTTTAAAGCAGGTAGTTAGTTCAACCTGTAGGAGTTATTATTGCTCCACACTATCATATCTGGCCTGTTGTGAGGTATCAGTATGTACTACATGAGTAGAGTTTGTCACATAGGTAGCGTGGCGCACCTTCTCTCCTCCTGTAGTCTGCTAGTTACATAAGCCCTCTATCAGGCCTCTAATCAGAACAGCCAAGCATTTAGGCACCAGCACCTAAATCCTCTTTACCCCGCAATCATAATCAGATAAGAGAGGACCTCCTAGATTATAGGTGGCATGAGTTCTTATAGTCCCTGCATGGGAAGAGGCAGTGGCATTTATCATCTGGATGTTCCAGGACACACTCAAACCCAGCCACCGCTGTCTTTCTTTACTCTATATACGTCACCTGCAACATTAGGATTATCTGCAGTTGTGATGAGTTCTGTAATAATTTGGTTCAGATCACAAACGTTCATTATAAAATATTGGTGAGGACAGCGTAATAAAAACAAGCACTA